TCTCTGTAGATGAAATTGCACAAGCTGTGAAAAGCTTGAAAAATGGAAAAGCTGCTGGAACTGACGAAATTCGCCCTCAGATGCTCAAGGCATTAGGCAAACAAGACGTACTGGCTTAGACGTGTCTGTCAAACTGCGATGACTATGGAGAAGACACCAGCGGATTGGAGACTGGATACGGCCTATTTATTCCGCATATATGGGATCGATGGCCAACTGCCACATGCTATCCAATCACTATATGCTGATAGCAGGTGCTGCGTCAGAGTAAGTGGCGCTAGGTCGAAACCTTTCAGCTTTGGCACTAGTGTTCGCCAAGTATGCGTTCTTCCTCTCTTCTGTTTGTATTGTACATGTATAGAATAGTAAAAGGCCAAGGCGATAAGTTTATCAGAATATGAGACGTGAAGACAAGAGGGTTGCTGCATGGAAGCTACCTTGTTTGACTTCAGAAACTGATCTACAGCAGTTTTTCTAGAAGTTAGGTTGCTTTCTCGTTCTCCTGCCCGTTGCTATGTTCAGATTAACGGAGAAGCAGTGGAGCAAGTGGAGAAGTCCAAGTAGCTCGCAATCGTTTTTACTAGTGATGGACAATTTGAGGAAGGGATCGACTGGCGGATTGGAAGAGCCAGTGGCGTTGTGCGTGGAGTAACCGGAACCGTTGTGAGCAGGTCTGTAAGCAAAGAGTAGGTTTTTTATGTCCAAATCAATCTTGGAACTAATGCTGGGTTTTCCTCCGTGGTGGGCCATCAGAGGAAAACCTGATACCGGGAACAAACGGCTGAAATAGGATTTCTTAGGTAAAACGTTAGTCTCATACGTCTCGATATGATCCGGAATTCAGATATCAAAGCAAGGCTTTGTGTAGGTCCCTGCTTGAGCGGACTGATGAATCACAACTATGATTATCTAGAAAGGAAAACAAAACAACTACTATTCGCTCAGACTTGTGAAGGACTGCTGGAACGGCGAGGGCTGACTTGCGGAGAATGTCTTGAGGGTCTGTTGCAGAATCGAGTTATTTTCTGCCTAAGCTGAAACCAAGGCACATAATCGGAACGTTAGAAAGAATGTCTGACGCTCACGCTACCACAAAAAAAGATAAACGGTCATCGAATCTGACTGATTTTTTAACGAACAATACGACTTACGGTCAAATCGCAGAACCAGTGCTTTAGTCTGTAGCCAGTTTTCGGAGCCGGTAGATACACTATCGGATACTCACGCGCGTGGCAACAATTTGTTTTGTATAAATTTACCAAACTGACAATCCTATTAATAAATAACATCAATCACCTTTAAAGCATCTGCAAAGAAATTACACGGCTAGGAAGTCCACAGTCCCCTTGTATTAATGATGAGCAGGTATTTGTAAATTAAGTTCGGTAGAAGCGGTAAGTATTGCGTTCTGTATTAAAAGTCTTAGGATGCTAGTCAGAAAATATAAATTTAAAATTAATGTGCCTCCTCTCTGCTTTATGCTCAAACGGAACCCATTGTCCGATTTGTTTTTTCTCTTGTTTCGGTGCTCTTTAGTGATCTTAACAGTACACGGTATGACCTCTGAAGTTGGATATAGCACATTCCAAATTCAGTGTACTTTGTTTGTCTGTTTATCCGTTTGAAAACTAATTATCTTTTAGGTGTTTTCTCCGCCTGTCTAATCGAGTTGTTGACTGATATTTTTTCTATGTGAAAAGCAGGTTGTTTAGCAGTTTTGAGTAGCTGTTTCGAATTATACTATTCAGGAATACAGCCATCGCGTAGAAAATTGCACTTATATTTTTAAAACTGCACTTCATAAATGAATCTGAATTATGTAGAATTTGTTTCCGTAAGTTAAAAGAATCATTGAACTATCGCTGCGGTGAAATCTCAGCGAAGATCAACTTGAACATCGAAGGTTTAGTCTTCAGATCCAGCTCTGTTTTAGTCACGATATTTAGGGCTAGTTCACGCAGAACTCCGTTGGCCACTCCAAACTGCTGGCCGCTAGTCGATCTTCTTTCCGATTTTCTATCGCCAGTAAACACAATCCCAAGGTACTTGAATTTCTCCACCTGCCCCACTGCTTCTCCGTTAATCTGAAGAGAGCAACGGGCACGAGAACGAGAAAGCACCAGGCTTTTCGTTTTAGATGCGTTCACACGCATGCCAGTCACGTCGTACTCGGCTGCGAACCTTTCCAGAGAGCACTGTAGATCAGTTGTAGAAAATGCCAATAGAACAAGGTCGTCTGTAAACAACAACCTTCCCGTTTCGACATCTCCTGCACCGATACCCTCATCACCCTTGGCAGCGCCTGACTATTCTATCCATGTACAACACAAACAGGATAGGGGACAGGACGCAGCCTTGGCGGAGACCAGTGCGAACACTGAATGGTTTCGACTTAACGCCTGACTATTCTATCCATGTACAACACAAACAGGATAGGGGACAGGACGCAGCCTTGGCGGAGACCAGTGTGAACGTTGAATGGTTTCTACTTAACGCCATTTACTCTGACGCAGCACCTAATATCAGAATATGGTGATTGGATTGTCCGTAGCAACTGGCCATCTCCCTTATGTTTGCATGCATGCTCATAGATTGTTGCGCGGATTTCGGCCATAGGCTTTCTCCTCGTCCGCAAAACACATAAACCTGATGAACAAACTCCGACGAAATTTCAGCAGTCTCATATAAGGCAACAATATGGCTTCTTGTATCTCAGTCAGTTCTTATTCCGAGGCACCTGCTTTATAATTCATTTGCGTAGACTTTTCCCGGGAGGCTCAATAAAGTATTACCTTGCACATTCCAGATATACTGATACACTCTTCGATACTCAAAGAACATGCTCCAAACGTACAGTCCATTGCTCGCAGAAAGGCGTTATTATTATGGTCGTTAGGACCATTCTGTTCAATCGCACCTTTCCACTTTTCTCTGTTTGTTCCAGTATGCTTATTGAAATCGTTCATTAGTATAACTGGTTCCATAGTGGGATGTTCTTGCGTTCTCCAAAAAATTTTCATATTTTCATTCGTAATGGTTGTAACTTCAGCGCAATGGTTACCACTCTTCCGTTGACAGGCATCCATTCAGTGATTGTATCAGCGAAATTCGGGTCAGAACACCAACACCCGCCTGGGTGCGTAGAATAGCTTGCAGTAGCAAAGATTCTGAATCCAGCACCCTGGCTCTCGTTGACAAGTGTCCAGTAGGTGCCTGAACAATTTGCATTTGTTCTTTCCATCTGAGTGAGTAGATGTAGAAATTTCTGACTGTCGACTCCCACTGTCGCTATGTTCCCGTTAAACTTTGTTTGACGTGCTATGAGGCATTGCACTTCCAGAACAGGTAGCTGCTTCGTTGCTAACTGGTGTCTTCGTGTTCTTGTCGATTATGTTTGTCACTGTATTGCCCCCTCCTACCCATCCAACTGTTGAACGGGGAGAAACAGTTTCCAAAGTCAATTCCCTTACGGCATCGCTTTTCCCAGTAACCACAGCGACGACCAAGTTGGTATAACTTTCAGTATACGTGATAGACCGGCTATTTTCTGGGAGTCCTCATCACGGTTCTCAGACCTTCTTTTTTCAAATCTAGGCGTGGAACCGGCAACCGTTGAATAGATGACTGAATGACTAGTTAAATTTCTGGCCACTTCGTAGGATTGCGAATTGACTATACAGGCTACGAAGACGCATTGCTGGACTTGTAGCGTTCAATATAATAATTATTATAGTGCTATCTTTTTTGTTTTAGCTTTCGCCTATGTATTGTTGCTACAACCGACTTTTGCTGAACTGTGTTTTGTCACGCTTGGGTATATCACTAGTAGGAGCAGATTAAACAGAGGTACTTGTTAGTTTTTGTACTGTTCATCAGCGAATTGTCTACGTGCTCTAGATTACTTGCAGAAACTACTTATGCGTTTTTAATAGTACTCCGTACAACTTTTCTTTTGTGTATTTAGCTTAGCAACAATGACCGAAGGGTCGAAACAGAACTGGAACACAGTGTTTTCCGTACTTCGTGAGCAGTACCGTAGACGATTCTTCGAACTACTAGACTCTAACGAAGGCTCAAAGGTGTTTATCAGATTTTTGTGAACTTTTCTAACAGACTCTGACTGATTGTATTCTTTGCCTGTACCGATATTGTTCTATCGGTTATCAAATGATGAGTGGTCCCTCCGAGACCAGATTTAACGGTTGTTGCTTCGCCTCCGTTGCACATATGTACCTTGGGGGCCATTTATGCTGGCCATGGCTCGGTGGTATTTGACCTCTTGTACTGCCAGATTCATTTCGCATCATTTTGTCCGATACACTATTTCACACGCATCACGATGCTTTAGTAGCTGGTATTCTTTATATGTAGTTGCTAACAGAAGATTACATTCGAATTCTACATGAAGTATACACAGCTCTAGCACGTAGGTTCAGCTGTTTGAAGATCCGGTTGAAGTCAAGGGTTATAATGGAGTTTGTTAAAGAGATACCGTATCGAGGGTCTGTAATGCATGTTTTGAGTCAGTATTGCGCGAATGAAATGGGATTGAAGATTTTCGGCGAGCGACAAGTAATTCTCATCTTCGATTTGCTGACGGCGCTATCTGTTAAGGACTAAGGCAAAAAAGTTAAAACCATGCTATTTCAGCTACAATTGAAGATCTAAAAAGTTGGCCTTCAGACAAATAGGGC